GGCAGGTGCAAGTGCTACAACACACACATACACACATTTGCATATTACAAGAAATAGCATATGACAGCGGAAGACAAAACAACAGAAAGAAGCAAACAACCATTCGATGCCAGAAAAAGATAGAAATGTATTTCTTTGAAATTCGCGCAAACGAAATGAGCCGCCAGTTCCACAGCCCACCACGGCGGCAACCTTTTATTGCGGTATTCCAACGCGATAAAGACAAAAAAGCCGATTCAAAAGCACTGCAAAAGAAATGATAAATGCATAAATCTTGAATTAATTCAAAATGCATTTGATGGCGATAACACTAAGAGTGGCCAAAGCAACACACACAAGCACACGCGTGCGGCCACACGTTCATTCACTGCAAAGCACACAAGCACAACACACACATATGTATATATGTTTGTATGTATGTGAGTTTATTGAATGCTGTTCCATTGAGAAATTCTCCGCTGCGTCCCACAGGGCTGATGCGCCTGAATGCGTGCCACGACTGCGCGCAGTCATTCATACACACACCGGCACATAGCGAGCATGTGTCTCAAGCTGAATAGAACCTGCATGCCACAAACCATAGTGCTTTCAGTAACGAACGCATTTGGACCAAGCAATTTGGGGACACATGGCATGCATACATACATACGAACACATAAAGTACATGTTCGTACATACATAAGTACATACACACGCAAGTTCGCTAATAGAAGAACGTTGTCGCCAGCTTCCTCACCTTATCCACCGCATACTTCCTTGCTTTCATTTATCTGGCTGCTCGGCTGTTACCCATTGGCTCAAGCACTCGTCCGCATTCAGTCCCTACACTAAGTATCGGTCGACGATTCGTCTGTCGTCTGTCGTCCGTCATCCGAGTAGCAATCAACAATACTGCCGAGATTTAGTTGCCGCCAGAATGGAGTGAGAGCGATCGGGAGAAATTTTCTAAATAAATAATGCCCAGCTATTAATACAATTCACTTTGCATATTTATTTTTAGTGGCAACTTGCCGTTTGCATTTATTTATCTGTCGTGTTTTTTCTTGTTTTTTTGCACAAAAGTAACCACACAGCAAGGAGAAAACGAATTTCGCCAAGCAAGTGAATCGTTTAAATCCAACAACAATAAAGCAATATTCTGTAAAGTATTTATAGTATTTTGTAGGGTGCAACAGCATCGGCAATTATCCAAAGCGCGCCGCTTTTGACACGCGTGCGACGCGAGCAGCGATGCGACGCGCGGACAAAGTTGATGGGCTGCCCAGACTCATGTGCAAGCACATAAGTTCATGTATGTATTAGTACATTCACTATGGGAATTCACATTTACATATATACTTTAATATGTTTTATAGACTGCATCGGCTGCTGCATTAGTTCAGACTCGCCACATATGATTTCGAAGCAACAAATAATGTACGACTACGAATCTGGGATGTTTAATTCAATGAATTTGGACATACCTGGCAAGCGAACACGCGAATAATGAAAGTATAGAACGTACTTTACTTATTTCCACATTGCAAAACAACAACACTATAACGGACTGAGTATAGTTGGTTTATTCACTAAACTTTGGTTTGGAAAACGATAAATATACTATAAACTAGCTCTCCTCCCGCCTGATCAGATAAGATATTAGTTAAATTAAATACGGATTTTTTTAAGGAAAATGTATTAAAAAGGTGAAAACTTCGGCTATGCTATGGCATAAAAAGCTATAAAAAGTAAGTTTTCTTGATTTTGATCGGTCAGTTTATATGGCAAATGTTTGCCATAGCCTATGCCAAATTTCGTGAAGATATCTTCTCAAATAATAAGATTATATGAATATAAAGGATAATCTATTTCGGATAATGGGAATTTTATCATATGAAAGAACATTTATTTTTTGAAGATTATCTCTTTCAAACGTTGGTCGCGGCTACTTAGATGGTAAATCCGTTGAGTCCATTTTTCGATGACTAGTTCAAGCATTTCGTCTGCAAACTGGCGAATGACACTTCTGATGTTTTCCTCCAAGGTTTGAATCGAAGCGTGATTGTCCGCATAGACCTTAGATTTTACATATCCTCACAGGAAAAAGTTCAATGGTGCAACCGGCCCAAACCGTAAATTTCTGTTCTCAATAAATCCATTGATTGATGCGATATGTGGGAAATGGCGCCGTCTTGTTAAATCCCAATGTCGGCGAGTTCACGAGCTCCAATTTCAGGCATCACATAGTTGATTATCAAGGCGCGGTAATGGTAGCCATTGACAACGTAACCGTCGACATAATTTTTGAAAAAATATGGAGCAATGATTCCACCTTCCCTCAAACCACTCCAAACCGTTATTTTTTCTAGATGAAATGGCAGCTCTAGAATCTCATCAGTTTGTTCTTCGTCAATTTTGCTTGATACTCATTAAGCCAGAAATAGACCTCATCGCTGAACAAAATTTGACTGGAAAACGTCGATATTCTTGGAACTTAGAGCTCAAGAGAAAAGTTTTATAATTAGTATACAGGGTGTGTCCGCAAAGTAATAGACCTGATTTTCTTCCGCCGCGAATGTATTTCGGAGCATGCGCGCACCGACTGGATTCGGTACAGAACGTTCCTAGCTAACGAACGAGCCGCTGGTCAGTTGTCTCCCATCACCTGGATAGTCAGAACAAAAATTTTCGCACGACATGTTTCTGTTAGTTCGTTAGAGCAGAGGTATTTTATCGCTTACATGTGTGAAACTCGGTTAATCTGCGACAGAGACGTTTGGAGTGATCAAGCAGGATTACAAAGATGTTGCTTTAGCAAGACGTAGTGTGTTTCGGTGGCATCAAGCCTTTTTAGAGGGCCGGGAAGAGGTGGGTGATGAAGACCGTGCTGGGATACCTGCAACTTCGACAAATACCGACAATGTGACTCGTGTGTGCAAAGTTTTAAACTCGGACCGTTGACTAAGTATTCGATTAATTGCCCAGATGTTAAATTTATCAAAATCTGCGGTTCATGACATTGTGACGAAGCACTTTAACATGCGCAAGGTTTGAACGAAGATGGTCCCAAAAGTGCTCACTGACTACCAGAAATTGCGTCAAGGTGAAGTGTGCCAAAAAAATTTTAACATTTGTGAAAGTGATCCCAAATTTTTGAATAACATAATAACAGCCCAGATGTGGCCCCACCAAACTATTTTTTGTTTCCTTACCTGAAAAGATCGAAAAAGCAAGCATTTTGAGACGACAGAGGAGATTGGATCTTCTAGCACCTTGACTCTCAGAGATGACGTTTTCAATGTTTGGGAATCGAGCTAGCAGCGCGTCTTCGAAGTAGAAGGAGTCTTTTTTGAAAGTCTTTAACGATTGGTTCAGTAAATATTTTTAAATCGACACAATCCCATTACTTTTCCGACAAAAGCTGTATGGAAGCTAGGGGAACAAATTACCCGATTACAAACCTTTTCCACGCACACTTAAGACACATTTTTATCAGTAAAAGATTTATTCTGAATTCACTAATATATCTCAAACATCGCCGTCATATATTTATAACATTTATACTCTCACAACATGTTGCTACAGAGTACAATAGTTTTGTTCACCTAACTGTTGTTTGTTTCACCTAAAAATAAACGAGTTAGATATAGGATTATAAGGAAAATTATTTCTTTTTTAGTAAAATATTTTCTTTTAAATTTTTTTTATAAAAAAATGTTTTTTATTAAATAATGTTTAAATGACTTATAGGAACGCGTGGTTACTAGGCGAGGTGACAACTCCTAATGATGTAAAAAAAAAAACATAGATCACAAATCTCACGTCTAAAAATCATTGATATCGAATCAACACTTTGGAAGCTCCCAGATACCGAATTTGTGGACCTCATTTCCTATGTCTGACATTATACCGATCAAGCTTTGAGATGTATATTAATGAAATTTAGAGGAACTAGTACCGAATACGGATAAAATCGGGTCTAAAATTTCACTAGATCACAAATATTCTTCTTTATTTGCTCAGACAACGCTTACGCGGTTATAGCCGGGTTTAAAACAGCGCGCCTGTCGTTCTTCCTTTTCGCTGTTTGGCGCCAATTGGAGATTTCAAGTTTTTAAAGGTTTTTCTCCATCTGGTCTTTCCAACGGCGTGGTAGTCTTCCTCTAGTTCCCCCGGCGGGTACTGCGTCGAATACTCTCAGAACTGGAGTGTTTTCATTCATTAGGACGACATGACTTAGCCAGCGTAACCGTCTGCTCTTAATACGCGGAACTATAAAAATGTCACGGTATACTTCGTACAGGTCATCGTTCCGTCGACTGCGATATTCGCCGTTACCAATTCGCAAAGGACCATAAATCTTCCGCAGATGATTTCTCAGGATGACAGGATACTCATATTTCATATTTCCCCCGTTCACCACTAGCCCAGAAGTAACTACTACAACAACCATATATATGGGGGAATATGTGAGTTATATTTATGACATTCAAAGAGAATTTTTCTACATTAATTTTCTGTCATGTGACTCGAGATCGAGTCAATATGTCTATTATATTTCTATCACTGTGATTTCCGTCTTTCTAGTTAACTTTAAACAGTTTATTTCGATGAATATGTCCTATCAATCAATCATCTCAAAAGAATAAATATTTTGTCATTCGATAACAAAAATTATAGATATCCGTATGGTCTTGTGTGAATATGGAGATTTGTGTAAGTTACATTGATTTCAATACAAATATAATATATCGTACTAAGAGATTACATAATCTATAGTTTAAGGTAGATAATAAAGATGATAGTGATTAATTCATAATTTCATAATTCAATAATAAATATTTTACTCTTTCGTATTATTTCTTTTAATAAAAGCTTTTGCCAACTCCGAAAAATATAACCCCGGCATTGATCTTTGAATTTAAAAAAAGTATAAATGTGCGGTTACACCCACACTTTGCCCTTGCTTAATTGTTATATAATATTTATATGTATTGCGCTTTGCATAGAGTTTTACTTACCCTGGATCATTTGGCACCTCTGACGGCGAACCGGTACTCATATCTTGCGATTGACTCACTAACTCCATTTTCATATCCATTTTTGATATAACGGCGATCGCCTTTTTGTTATCTACAAATTCCGTTGATCGCGTTGACACGATGAATTAATCGGCTTATTTCCAATTAGCCCTGTTGAGGTATGCGCTTCTAGTTGGCGGTTAACTACATACACTATGTCTAAGGATATAACTATGGCTATGACTAAGAGACACTGACACCTTCCTCAAGAGCATAGGGAAGCTCTCGCATGCATTATCTCAGGCAACAAGGTAAAATCTTGTGTCGCTTTCAATTCCAACGCTGTATATTAACATGGATAGGCGTCGATTATATTGACGGCAAAACGAGTAACTCAATCCAATTCCGACTGCACAACGATAGATTACTAAACTGCGCACTACTACAACGCTCGTCGTAGTCTAATCGATACATGTGTATATATGCACATACATAGCCACGAATATGTAATTATTAAGGCTGCGCGCACGACTCTACTGGACTTGATTAAGTCAAACTAATACCACATCCTGGTTCAAGTAGCTTGCCAAGATGTTGTTGTAGCACGAATTTATTTGCACGATTAATTTTATATTTATCATTTGATTTAGATTTCACTTTATGCACTTCAATCACTTCATTTTTATTATACCACTTATAGCAACTAGTTCATATCATAAATATTCCAATGAACCACCATCAAAAAACGCCACGTGCTCGCTATAAACTACAAGTTCGAATACCCGTCGGAGAAGCTATACCTCATGTAAGAGTTATGTACATGTGTACATCCGTAGGTATGTATTATATATCGCTCACAGCTATAATCCTTGCACTTACAACAATAATAACGTTAAATTCATATTCAGAAATTAGAAATTACTTTAGTTTGAGTTCGTTTGTCTGCATTACTTGCAAAGTTAATAGGCAAACACCTTGTGTCCGTTGATCACTGTATTCGTAGAATCTATTGGCATAAAAATATTATATCCACAACAATGGCAATTACTCAGAAACAATGGCGCAAAGGGTCGACTTTTCACTTTTCAATTCATTATTAGATAAAAAATATAAAATATGTATATCTTTATATAAAAAGTAATACCTACAAGTATGTAAATAGTAGTCTATATGGTAAATACATCATGTATATCGTTGTCTCTACTAATATTATTATTATTTTTAATTGTAGTGGCTCCGCAACTATCGGACAGATTTGAAAACTTCTTTCATCGTTGAGGAGTTAGACTCTCTGAGTTAAACATAGGCTATATTAATATTTTCAAAAAAATTTAGTATAATGTAACCCAAGGTAGGTAGGCAGAGAGGCTATCTGACGACGCACTTAGGCCCCATTATGATACCACCAGAATCAAGATTCTTTCTTGCTATTGGCCGCTCTCTGAGCCACCCGTACATCTGATGGAGTTCGAAAATTCTGTCTGTGCAACCTCCCAGTCGCCGTCTAGAAACTCTCGATCCTGCAGATAAGGCGATTTTGATATTAAATTTTAGGCACCACCTCCACCTCGGTTATTAAGTTAGAAACTATCCGTATAGATGATCTGAAACAAGCGTTGATTGAGAGCTTGCGACAAAAGACTCCCCAACCTTTCCCTTAAGCTTTGATCCAGCGACTTCACCCCACACATAAAACTCTCGGAAGTATGCGCGCGAAAAACGTGCCGCTAAGGGTTGTTCCGCGGCGTAGTGGTCCAAGTTATCAGGAATGCAGTCGACATAAGAGAGGAATTATTCTCACGCGTACACTTACTTAATGTGCGTAGTTTCCTGGAATCTGATAGAGATGTGTTTACGTAGTGCACCACTGATAACTATTAGAGCTGTTCGAAGTGCATATTTTCGTTCAAAATTACATAAACTTTTAAATTTTAATTCGGCTTTTCTATAATATTTACAGTAACTTAGTCGAACCTCAAACTCTTAAAACACTTTTTTTGATAGAAACCTTATTTTATGTTAGAAATACACCCAGGATGGATTTCATGTAGCGCTGAACTTAGAATATTCCGTGATATAATTACATAAAGCCATATATTCTTATATAAAACATATATATATGTACTTCGAAAACACAATTTTCGACACTGATCTATTCGTTTTATGAATAGCTCGGAGCACATACAATTAAAACAAACTTTTCTAAGTACTTTCATACAAAACACGCACATTGAAAGCTTCCCTTGAGTACGCTTTATAAAACACCACTCGTATTTCGCGCTTTTCAGATCTATGCAACTGGTTAGATCGCCGCTACAGCAATCGAAAACACGTGACCGCAATTAGAGGTAATTTTGAACGTTTCTGTCGCAGTCACCGACAACGTCAAAGCTATGCTTTTCCCGCTTCCATTAGCAACAAATATTGTGAATTAAATGATTTACATATATACATACATAGGTATATACTGGTAGTATGTACTCGTATGGGGACTGAGATGACAACTAAGCTGCAGTGCACAGAATACTCTCACGGGGCATGCTATAATTTCAACAAATAATATCAAATAAACAATGGCTACTACTTGTTGAAAGCCTTATGGTTAGGACAGAAGTAGACAGAGGGTTGGTAATAGTAGAAAATTTCACAATACATTGAATCTAACTTGCTGGCATTTTATTGAACTCGATCAGCATTGATTGATGGAAATCGAAAGCGAAAAGCGTAATGGAACCAAATGAAATCAATTGAGGAAGAGAGTAAAAATTCGTTGGACACGGGTAGGCGCGTTTATTCGATACTCAAAAGGGTGTACTATATAAGAAGTAAATAACAAAAAAATAATAATAATTCATGTGAAGGACTGATTTGTATATAATGAAGAAAATATGTGTATATTACCACAGTTATGGCTACTTTGAAGCAGAAAACGATGTGTTAAACATTTTTCAGTAGCCAAAGACACTTTTTGAAAATTATTGAAAGGACTGCAAGTAGAAAAATATAGAAAAAGAGATCGATATATCAGTTTTTGGAATTTTTATTTGCAAGGATTCTAGAACAAAGCTATGCTTATACGTTTTCACCCTAAGCTGCATTGCATTCGATATATTTTTATTTGAAACAATAACCTTAAAACAAAAACTAAAACGGAGGAGCACCAAAATATCAACAATAGCCAAGATATCGACTGTCAACAATAACAAAGTCTGAAACTCGCTAATGTCATTTGAAATAAAGTTAGTATGCCGCTAACAGCTCTGTTTTTTGCTATTGGAGTTTTTTTTTTTATAGCAGTATCTCATCACACTATCTTTCCATTAAGAGGCACTTATCGACACAGGTTTTCTATTGAGAGGCGTCAGTTGTACTAAAATTTGGTTTCGTTTCATATACACTTGCGTCTATCGTTTTTATCTAAAGCCGCGCACACGCCCACTATGGTAGTTTAGTATAAACAAACTATCCACCAAGGCGCTGGAGTTATCTAAGAAGACCGGCGTATTCTTCAAGGTGTCGCAGCGCGCTGCTGTTTCTTTTTATTGCCATTTTTTGAACCACAACACACACACAACCGTAAAACAACCAAAAGTAACATGCTTTCTGCTTAAATTAAGAAATATTTTTGGACCCGCGCATTTCAGATATGACCAGAGCACTATGTAATGTTGGACATAAGTATGTGGGTATATATGTAAATAGTTAAAATATTTTCATTGAAACTTGTATGCCTTTTAATTGGTAAAATAAGTTTGAGACGCACACGAAAATGCCGTTTTTGTTTTATTTCGCTTAGGATGAGGTGTCAAAAGCTTTGACATCCACGCTTTGGATTTTTCGTTGCACTATTTAGTAAATTGCATGGCTGTGCGATTAAGTTTTCTTGTTCGAAAATTTTATTATTTTTTATCTATTTTTTGCATTAATTCATTTTTTTAATCAATTGCATTGCATCACTTTAAGCATATACAAAAACAAAAATTACAAAAAACAACACAAATTTACAACTTTCGTTGTGTTATATTTGAAACATACATATGTATGTACACACGTTTGTTGTTTGTTTATTTGTAGTTGGCTCTGCGGTAGCGAAAACTATGTATTTTTTTCTTATCGAAATTGTATTGGTATTGCGGGCGAGTGATTTGTGCGTTGGTTGCGGCAAACGTTTGCCTTTTGCATTCTACTTTAGCTATTCGACCAAGCTCCACCAAGCAAGCACTCGCGACAACTTCCTATGCGATACTGAAATCCAAACCGAGAAACTATCAGAACTCAGGCGGAATGGCAGAACGTATTTTGAACACGCAAACGGCCGACAACGTCGCTGCTGTTTGAGCGTCAACGTATGCAACAAAAACACTGCGCACAACAACAGCAATTAGCTAACAAGCCAGCAAACTACCAACAAGCACACACACACATGCATCTACATTCGCGTAGCAACGTAAGGCAGCAGCGACGCAAGCTAAGCGCCAAAAGTCGAACATCATGACAGTTGCCAGAGCTGTGTGTAGCCGGCAACACAAACGCTAACTAGTAATAGTTCCAACGACAAAACAAAAATTATATGCATACACGCGAGTTTACATATACATATATGTACGTATGTATGTATGCTTGCAATGACAACTGCAACTGCGAGAATAAAGCTGCGCGCGAGCAAACTTCAGCACCCACATGCGCCCGACCGTTACCACCATCGCGCACCGCGCCAATCATCCCCCTCACACAGACACTGTCCACGTTCGTCGTCGCATCGCTGCCACTGGCACTGTCGCTGCTTAGCTGCAGCCATTAGCTACCGGCGAGCGGTTGACAACGCTGAGATACTCCCGCTGCATTCGAGTGTGTTGGCAGTGGAGCGCAAGCGAGTGTGCTGCACAACAGCTGATAACACAGCGGCAGAAGCAGAGCGCAGCGGGCAGAATTTACATTATTTACAGCTGCAGAAGTGCATAAACACATACGTACGCACATGTAAATATATAATCAGGCAAGTAAATAAGCGCATCTGGAAGTAAAACAGCGTAAAACTTGATTTCAAACAATTTGTGTTGCTGTTTGTTGTGTTATTGTTTACACAACTATCACTGATAAGACAGAAATGCAGATATCGTTGCGGCTGTATCCAAATGTCAAGAGAAATTGAGTACTAAGAGCAGCAGAAGTAAGTTTGTGTAAAGAGAACGGAGCTTTTAAGAGCGCGCGTCAGCTGTTCATAATTGAGGCTGTAAATGGAAATGGACTCGATTCGTATATCATGATGGTTTTATAACAATTATGAACAGTACGTTATAAAAGTATTTTATAAATTATAAACAAAGTTATTTTTAGTGGTGTATGAGAGCTGGTATAATACGTGAACCCATTTCACACATTTTGTTTTTTGCTTTAAAAAAAAAAACACAGAAACTTCAAATTTAATGGGGAATAATTATTATCATTCGAAAGAATATTCTTTCACATTTAGTTTTTGAAGATTACCTCTTCCAAATGTTGGCAGCGGCTACCTCTCAGATGATCCATCCATTGAGTTCAAATTTTCGATGACTCGTTCGAGCATTTCGATTGGTAACTGGCGAATGACTCCAAGGTCTGAATCGAAGCGGGATTGTCCGTACAGACTTTGAACTTTACATATCCCCACACGAAAAAGTCTAACGGTGTGAAATCACACGATCTTGGTGGCCAATCGACCGGCCCAAAATGTGAGATTATTTGCTCAACGAAGTGTTCTCTCAATAAATTCATTGTTTGATGCGATGTGTGAGAAGTTGCTCCGTTTTGTTGAAACCAGATTTCGCCGAGATCACGAGCTTCAATTGAAGCCATCAAATAGTCTATTATTATGGCGCGATAATGGTCGCTGTTCGCAAACTGATATTTTATAACCGTCACGTGACCTATCGCCATATGGAGACGATTATATATAGTGGGACCAGCTTACATTCAATATAGCATGAAAGAGTGTATTCATGTTGGATCCCACCCAATTTGACAATCGCTCAAAAAAGGCTCATGTCGATTGGTCGAGAGATGCTATAACATCGTGAAAGGTGGTGAATCGGGGATTTACGCGTATGAGCCCGAAAGTAATCAGCAGTCCAACAAGCGTTGTTCGCGCACGAAACACTTTCGAGCAAATAGTTGCATGATTTTATACCTCTGGAATAACTCAGAACAGTATATTCTGAGTGGTATTCAACCATTTGTTCACCAGTTGTCTTTCAAGAAATCAGGAAAACCAAAGGCCGAAGACGGAAAATTTTTCACCAATACGAGTTCTCACACATCGACTGAAACAACTGCAATGAGTCATTCTCAGCAGTCGTTTCATAGGACCGAACGACTTCTTCTTATCCCGTACGGAAGAGAAACAAAGAGGTCAATATTTTTCGACACCTGAAGAGACAGTTGATGCGTTCAGAACTCATGTTTTGGAGATACTGCAATCTGAATGAATTATATTGAAAATGGGTGTGGGTCCGATTTAACCCATTTTCACAGCTTAATATTGGCTCCTACAACGCCTTTTCGTAGCATCTTGGTTGCGAACTATAATACTAGTGATGTCTATTTAATAAGTTATGACACCCTTAGTAGTTTTCAACATAACCGTTATATGACGAGTGGGTAATCCGCAAATGCCACTCCCTAATGCTATCCATTGTTTCAATTCACAGTTTTGTATCATAATATATTGTACTTATAAGTTTCCGTTTAGTATCATTTTGTGGGCTTGGCAGTGGCCCGAAGTTGAAGTGGCTTCATCTCAATTTTTACTCAAATTAAAGACGGACGGACAGACAGCTACTCGGATTTCAACTCATCTCTCACCGTAGCATAATAGCGAGAGCACAAAAATCGACCCCCAAAATTTTCTCATGGATCCGCCACTAGTGCCTCTTGAGACTGCGATGACCAGTTTAAGTTGATGTAATACTTGGTTTCTCAGAAGTAATTTATTCTGCTACATCCCTTCGGATAAAATGAGTTATGGTTCCAACAGCTTATGAACTGCCGCAAGCAAGCAAGTAGCCTCTGCCACTTAGAAAGTTGAAACCTCATTAAGGCTTTCGGCCATACCCAATGATCTTTGGCTTGCAGCGCCAGTATTTTCCAACCATCATCACCAGTGGTTCACCAAGGTCATTTTCGTCACTTGGTCAGCAATCTTTCGAGGATCCCTGTGTCATTCACCTGTGTGGTGACCAGGTCCGAAGTCAGAAACTTTAAAATGCAGAGGAGTTTCCCAAGACCACACAAGCTCTTGGTATTTCACTAGATAAATTCCCGATTGCTTTGCTATTGATAATTTTAAAGCCTCTAACATCTTCCCTTTCCGGACCAGTATGAGGTCAAGGTTATTTGACATGAATCTACTTGTGTTTTATTTACAATAACCCTCCTTTCTGAATTTGCTTGTTTGACTCATCATCATTGACGAGTATCAGTCCGGGATCCACAAAGCTGCTGCTCTACTGTCAGTAAAGCCCAAGCAAAGGTACTACTGCTAGCGTTCATGTTTTCTATGAGCCCTAAGATGAACCCAACCGACTTACTGATGTTCTTGGGAAAGAATATCACCAGGTTGTGCATGGACGGAATTTCTTCTCCTCTTTTCGTTCATAGGACAGAATTTTTACAGGCTGCCAACATCTCGTATCTTCGCTTTTGCAATCCTTGAACTTTAAAAAACGTCGTAAAAGGAATGGCGATGAGTTAGAAATATGAAGCAAAAGTCAAAACTTGGCGAATGTATGAAAAAACTTTATATTTCAATGTTTTTATTGAAGATGATCGCTTCAATATATTTTACATATTTGACTTCTCTCTTGATATTTCAATGCAGCACACAGATTGCAAAACTTAACAAGAAAACAAAAAGAACTAGCATTAAAGCTTATAATGACTCAGAAACGCTCGAAGAGCAAACACGTGTCTACATAATACTTAGGGCGTTGGAACAGGTTTCGGTGGTGGTGTATCTTTGCTCTCCTCATCTTTTTCCTTATTCCAATTTTGCAAGCCCTTTGGCAATGATGTGTCTTCTTCGAAAGAACCTGTGCCTTCGACGAATTCTTCGTATGTAGATTTTTCTTTGAATGGTCGTGGACCCAGCAATTCGATCATATCATCGCGACTCAATATTTCATTCTTTAATAGGCGCTCAGCTACACGGCGAACATCTTCTTTGTGTTTAGTGAGCAATTCTGTTGTGCGTTGATGAGCTTTATGAATAAGAACGCGGACTTCGCTATCAATCAATTGCGCCGTTTCTTCCGAGTAGGGCTTAGTGAAAACAGCATCACCTTGCTGACCCGCATCAAAGCTTACTTGACCAACCTTCTCGTTCATGCCGAATCGAACAATTTGCGCATAAGCACTATCCGTTATCTTTTTCAAGTCATCCTGTGCTCCAGTTGTAATGCGATTAAAGAATAACTCCTCCGCAACACGTCCACCGAGTGTCATACACATTCGATCAAAAAGTTGTTCCTGTGACAGTAAGTACTGATCCTTAGGCAAGTACTGGGCATAACCAAGACCCTTTCCGCGTGGTATAATTGAAACTTTTAACAGTGGATCTGCATACTCCAAAAACCAGCCCGCAACCGCGTGACCCGCTTCGTGATGCGCTACTGTCTTCTTTTCTTCTGGAGCTAAAACATTTGTCTTTTTCTCCATACCAGCTATCACTCGCTCGATCGCTTGTTCGAAATTTTTCATGATAATTGCATCCAAGGAATCGCGCGCAGCTATAAGAGCAGCTTCATTGCATACGTTTGCAATGTCAGCGCCAGTAAAGCCAGGTGTCAATGCTGCCATTTTACGAGCAAGATCTTGCTTATCCAAATCAGTCTTTAGAGGACCCAGATGTACCTAAAATTAAACAAAAGGCATTTAACAATTAGCATCGTACATAAGTGAGCATAAATGAACATTTACAATAACAATCGCAAACATGGATATAATTCTTTTATGTTTTTTTACAGTTACCTTAAATATGTTGGCACGTCCTTTTATGTCAGGTGCTGGAACAAAAATCTGACGATCGAATCTTCCTGGACGCATCAGCGCTTTGTCTAATATATCAACACGGTTAGTTGCAGCTAACACAACAACATTAGTAGTAGTATTAAAACCGTCCATTTCAACCAACAATTGATTTAATGTGTTCTCTTGTTCGGAATGTCCACCAAAAGATTTACCACCACGTTTGCGTCCAACCGCATCAATTTCATCAATAAACAAAATACATGGTGCATGCTTTCGAGCCATTGAAAACATATCTCGAACCCGTGACGGACCTACACCAACAAACATCTCCAAAAACTCGGAACCGGATACACTTATAAAAGGAACATTTGCTTCACCAGCGGTTGCCTTTGCTAATAATGTTTTTCCTGTACCAGGTGGACCTGTGAGCATAGCACCTTTTGGAATTTTAGCGCCGAGATCAATATACTGTTGAGGATTTTTTAAGAAGTTCACAAATTCCATAATTTCGATTTTGGCTTCCTCACAACCCGCAACATCCCTGCAAAATTGCAATATTTTATATTGATATTATACATCTCATATTTTTTTTAATTCTTACTTAAAGCGTACGCCAATTTCGTTTGAATTAATAAGTTTCGCTGTGGACTGCATTACGCCGCCGAATAATCCACCGCCTTTTCTTCCACGACCACCACCCATCATATCAGCTGAGCGACGCATCATATACACCAAAAATCCTATTATTAGGAGTGTTGGCAAAAGGCCCGTTAGAGCTGACGCTTCTACTTCCGTGCGGTATATGACAGGAACGTAATTAAGAGGTTCAATACCAAGGTCGGTTTGTGCAGATTCTAAATTACGTTCAAAAGAATCTACACTGCCGATGTTAAACCAAAGCACACCACTAGAATCTTGTGAATTTCCTGGAAGTATGCGCACACGAACCCACTTCTTATTGACCACCTCCAATTTTTCCACCAGACCCTTATTAAGATAGCTGGAGAAATTTGATAATTTCGTAATATTCAAACCAAGTACTCATACATACTTATTAACAAATTCTTTCCATGAGATTTCTTTATAACCCATTTCAAAAAAGGCTATTGACGCCAGCAATGCGACCGCGCTTACAGCTCCAAAAATTATCCATTTCTCTCGATCACCTCCAGAACCATCTCCTATCGGTCGACCAGGGCCACCACCAGTTCCACGATTTCCCTGTGACCCTTTTGAACTATTTGTAAACATACCAAAACTCCAATCACTTTTATTTGTTGAAGATGTATTGGAGCTAGTTTCTTTACCACTAGAGGATTTGCTATCTTTCGATTTAGTTGTTTCACCGTCGGATGTTTTCTTGTCTACTGACTTGCCTTCTTCAAAGTATTTTTCAAAACCCTTTGGTGGCTTTTTGCAAAAGTGTTGCACTTGTTCCAACAAGAATTGTATTACTGGTGCTTGAAAAAACTCAGGTGATCCCACCACATTTCGATTAGAAGCTCTCAAATTTAGATTGTTGGTAACATAACTTCTACGAAGGCACCGTTCCATCGCTTTCGCAGATTGAATCAATCTGTGCGCCATTTTTATCTTATGTTATTATACAATCCTTTTTTACACTCTTCTGATTTACACCTTAACAATTAAATTTATATTTCGTAGTTTTCGTTTTTGGTTATCCAACCGTTCTGCTGTCCGGTAGTTGCCCTGGCCGCACTTTTATTCTAGAACAAAATATTTCGAAAATTAAAACTTGCCGAAACTTAGAAAGAATTGATTTTCAGTACTTTTATCTTAATTGTACAAAAGAATATAGTCTATTTTAAATAGTTTCTATTCAATTTTTCAAGGAATAAACTACCAAATTTTGTATGAGGTGGTGAAATAAGTCGGCGAGCAATGTCAAAACCATTGACACATCCCAATGACAGAGGACAATGCTGCTTTTTAAATTCTATTACAAAATTTTGATTAACTTTTGATCAGTTCATAATTATGGTTTTCTTGAATATATGTATAATCATGACAAAGCATTTAAATACTCATATTATGATTAGTATACATACATAAATGAAAATAAAATGTAAAAAATACAAATTGTCTTATTATTTAATTTAGTATTTGCTGTCTTTATAAAAGTTTATTGATATTTGTAATTCCATACTCTGAAAGTCGTTACATATTGTTAAAGTAATTGACAATTGGAACCATGGCATAGCGATTCGAACTATAAAATTTCTTCAGAATGTCAAATTTTATTAATCAAAATGCTGTTAGACGATTGATTAATTATCCTAGAGCTATACCCGAGATTAATAAATTAATATTTTTCTATGAGTTTAATAACGTTTAATTGACAAGATTAACCGAAACTCTTTTCATGCAAATTGCTAATGACTTTGAGGGCTTGCTTTGAGATTGGGTAGTCGTGAGTTGCTGGTTATATTTTGTTGTGAATTGAAGCATTTTTTACCTACACATAAATTCCTCAAATACATTTTTGGTATGGTTTGTTCGAATAAAGATGTCAAAAATATGGCAGCCCGCTGACGAATTAAAGCGAATGCAATATGGCGTCGTTGTGCTGTGTCGTGGGTACGTATTTGGTTGTGAAAATTTTTTAATTTATGAAATATCTTCAATATTTAAATCAAATTTGTGCAAAAATTATTATTTTCTAATAAGAAAATGTTTAATGATGTGTTGAAATATATAAAAAGTGTTCGAAGTAAGATAAAAACATGAAATCTTAAAAAAAAATTCGCCGATTCGGAAATATACATATACTTTGCAGCGTCAAATCAGGCGAGCCGTCATGAAAAGAAAATTCATCTTCGTATTTTCTTATAGATGCCTTTGCTAACGGAAGTGTTGTTAATATAGCAATTAATTAAGTTTAGAATAACAAAAAGCAACAATAGTTCAACAAAATATGCGTAAATATTAAATAATTATTATGCCGGCTAGGACCTAGGCTACGATCTTAAATTTACACACTTGTGTATCCATAGCAAAAGCATCGGGAAATTTTCGTACGCGTGTACACATTCACTTAATGCACTAAGTTGTATGGGCAATACATCAGCCTACAGAAAGCCTTATTGGTTTTAATGGAAGGAGGTGCATTACACCGTAGTGCAGTGAAAAATCAATATTGCATTTCTGGGATGCTCAACGTGGAAATGCTACATAGCCCGCATCCGAACCATTGAGGGTTGGATGGGCGGGGTGTTTGTATATTTTTTCTTTAGGTTTTGAGATGCGAAAAAAATGTGTACATATCAAAGAAACTTTCTCTATATGCCGGTTATATGATTTTACAAAGAAAAATAACTAGTGGTATACTTGTTGGATACTAAAAATGTACACTTTACTTGAACACCCAATTCAATCGCAGATATTGTGTCCAAATAAATATCATAAAATAAGTATTTTACTAAATCGTTTATAATGGTCACCTAAATTATTTTTTTTTCATCAGAAAATGGAAATAGAAAAATTATGCGTTTAGTTATACTTTAAAAAAAATTACAGCAGGAAAAGATATCTTATATAAATGATACAATATTTTTGATCTTAACTGAGTAAAAAATGTGCAAAGGAAATTTTCATATTTTCTCTTTCAAATTAAAATCCTGAACACCATTATTGAAAATAGCAAAGGTTGAAGCAAGGCTTATAATTTATACTCAGAACATCTTTTCAAATTTATAATTATATTTATAAAAACAATTATATGCTAAATATAATAAACTATATGTATATGATTGTAATAAATTTAATATATTTTCAGCTTTTGTAACTAAAACTCCGTTTTGACATCACACTAAACTATTCTCATCATAATCTAAAACACCATCGAAAACGAAATAACAAAATCAACAAATACTTAAAAAAAATAAAAAACAAAAATAAATAAAACAAGTTAATCAAACTACAAACCCCAACAATAAAATCGCGCACGATTAAGATATACTAATATTCTGAACACTGTTGCAGATGTTAAGAAATGGTGGAGGAATACAGAAATACAGACGAATAATTTCTTAATCCCAAAGTTTGATTAAACACAATAATAAACTTTCATACAATTTATGAATTAAAAACATCATTATTAATTTAATATCTATTTAGCGGCCAATAAGTAAACTTCGTGAATTAAATACTTGTGAAAAAGTGCTTATCGTACGTGCTCGTACGCGAGCTTTCTGGCTTTATTTTTTTCTTTTTGGTCAAGACTGGCCAAATAAACCGCGACGCTGATAATTAATTTAAAAAATTACTCTTAATACTCAATAATTTTTGGAGTAGAAATTTAGTAAAATATAAAAGCTATTCACTGTAAACCGTATTAAAAAACTTAAGAATCTCAAAACAAAAAATCAAATTGGGAGGAAATGTTATCATACCTCACATTGTAATGATTGTTGTGAGTACGAAGTGAGTTAAAAATAAAGGGTTTATATCCGTTATGATACTCTGCCACATGGGAACAGCAAATATTTAAACGGTCAGACGTTGGAATCGAAAAATCCATCGTTATATTTTCATGAACTCAAAAAAAAAAACATTCCGAGGTCCGACACTACTGACTTAAAAAAATATTGTCAACGCCAGCAGTTGGACTGCTTTTTAAAATATACACAAAGTAAATAGAGCTCAGCAAAAACTAACTACGAAAAAGATCGTCCAGTGAATAAAAATCTTTCCTGCGCCAGGAGTAAAACAAGTTGTGCATACCCCTTTTTTGGCGGCAAAATATTCTGTTAAATTTACTTCAAATTCTTAATAACCACGTTATTGAAAAATAAACACTCCTCCAATTCCCTTAAACACAGCTCCTTTAAAATCATTAACACTTCATTGCATTCATACAGGTTTTAAATGTTAATGGAAGCAGTCCAAACTTTAAAAATCCTAAACCACAATAAAAAACAAAAGCAACACAACCAGCAACAAAAAACAACTGAAAAGAAAAGTTTTAAAGTACAAAACGCAATAAGAAAAGAAATAGTTACAAAACAAATATAAATATTAATTATAAAAAAATAAAACTTTCAGAATAGAAAAGTAAGAGTGTTGTGAAAAGAAATTTAAAACACAAAAATTAAGGTCTAAGACTACTATAAAAAAATATATATATATAAAAAAACGATTCGCAACAAAATAATCACATATAAATTGGGTAACGAGGGAGTGGAATAAAAACCAAAACACAGATAACGTAGCTTTGTATTCGGTGGTATATTTTATGATAACTAAGTGCGTAAAGTGAGAAAATCAATATAAAATAAATGAAATACGGTGAAAAACAGGCCCATTGCTGGCAATTAGCCGGTATAATTCCTGTCGTCCAGGTGAAAAGCAAATAAACAAATGCCTACTATGACAAGGTGCTTCGAAAAAAAAGATATGTAAACGCTTTCGAAAATTTCCAAAATAATAGAAATAATAGCCAACTAAAATAGTTTGAACCGATTGAACAATATTGAAAAGAAAATCAGGCGGGAGTGTATGACCAACGAAGTGGTTTATTTAAATAAATTAAAAATATATATTGAAGAGAGCAGAATATAACTAAAACTACGTATCGAACGAAGTAGCTGTAGCAAACTAGTTGAACCGAAAACTGCAATGAATGCAGTGTAAAATAAATAAATACTTGCAACGTAGCAACAATGAGTTTACACCATTCTTCAAATCAACATTTAAATGACAAATTAAACCTTTAATAATAAAAAAAACTGTATTATTTAACAAGAAGTGCAGGAATCGAAAATAGTAATCCAAAAATATATATCCAAAAACTGAACTCAAATATTAGAAATCACTTTTACATGTGAATAAATCATATTTTACAATAATAACAATACAGCTGATCAACTACAAATATCTAGAGTGTAAAAATATAATTATAAATTTATGAATTAGCAACGAAAATCTTAAATAAATCGATCTTAAAAGAATATTTCATTGTAGAAGAGCCATTTGTTGGCGGGCAATTGCTGCGCTTATTCTGGACACCCGACACGGAGATAATTAAGCAAAGATCCGGAAACCAATCACGAGAAGTTTAAAGTCGGAACCCATTTAGACAGACTGCAGAAATAAACCGATGAAATTTATAACATATATTAAACAAGAAAGGAAATAACTAAATTAATTTATTAAAGAATTGCGCATGTGAATGTGTCTAGTACCTATAGTGTGTTTATGTGTGAATGATACTATGCATCAGTAACAAAATAAGACAAAATTAAAAACTGTTTATAACAACAAAAACACAAACAAAAATTCAAAGAAAGATTTAACAACTCTGTGATAATTATTGTAAATTTATAATATAAAATAAAACAAAAAGTAAGGAATAGCAACAAAAACAAAGATTATTATTACAAAACAGCAACAAAAGAAATTTTCGTTAAATTAAATTGAATTAATTACTAGAAGTAAAAAATAAAATTTAAAGAATAGACGTAAAACTACAACACAAAATAGAAACAACTAAAGCAAATGCAAATGAAGATAATGAAACATTGAAACAAATTCGTGATATCTTAAAGGACTTCGATACATATATACTATAGTATATTATTATATTATATTTTATATTAATTAAGTGGATAATAATAAGCTTATATATATGAGCAAAACAGACTTAAAACGCGAAAAAATATATAAAAGCATTAATCGAGCAGCTCCTGTAGTTTAAGAAGCACTGGAATAAACTGGAGTACTGCAAGGAAACGTGCTTAGAACTAACGTAGTATATGAATAATAAAAAGACTTTGCTACATTTAAAGCTTAGTATAGTAGATAAAAAAAAAACGTAAAAACTAAATAACAACAGCCCAGTAACAAAACAACAACAAAAATCCAAACAGCGAATCGGCAGCAAAGCTATTACAGCTTAAGTTTAACTATGAAATGCTTTAGTTACATCTTCAAAAAATCTCTCTTAATATAAAAATATATGTATATCAGATTTGTCTAGATATAAAGCTAAAACTAAAGAACAAAAGCAAACAAATATCCTAGTGATACACCACAAGTAAAGTAGTTTAAAACGTACGGGGGCGAGGCACAACGCAAGAGCGAGAAATGAGAAATTAACGGCGAATAAAAAAATATAAATCACTTTTTTAACATTTAAAAAACTAATCAAATGAGATTGACAGAATACTACTTAGCTCTCTTCATACAATCCAACAAACGCGCTGTGTTCCGGCATTTAACACATACATACAAAAACATTCAGAAAGGCTTTCAGTGAACTGTCACTGCCTCCATAAATAATAACGTGAGCGTGTTATTAAACTAATAAGATAACATTACCGTCGAATCGAAACAACATTTTCAAAAAAACCTACCAATTGTGCATAAAAAGGATTATAAATTAAACTTTGTTTCGAGCATCTCAACACATTTTCTTCATTTGTTGCCCTTCGTGCAGTGTGCACATTAAATAAATTCGATTTACGACTGAATTTTACTCACGCGCTTTTTTATCGTAAGAATTGATTTCAAATCTTTCATCCTTATCCAAAGTCCACAAGACCAAAGTGTATACCCAGCGAATAAAACAATTGCAACACTCATTACCACCACTACTACCACTACCAACAACAAGTATTCCACGTGTATTTAGCAACATGAACGCCCAATCAAAAGGTTACCGCACCGGTGAAGGTAAATACAAATTTTAGAAACATGCACCATATGCAATAGGAGCAATATAGTAACTATGTCATCTTCAAATAAGTTCTAAATATATTTTTTACTTACAATAATAATTAATCATGATTTAATAAGACATCATGTAATATAATTCAGTTGAGTTGTTATACTTCATAAGAAGGTATTTTTATTGCAACAGTTGAATTTACTATAGATTTTTTTATATAGAAATATCCGAATTCGAATATTATATAGTATGTACATAGTAATCTAAGTTTAAAATTGAGAATTCACACTTATGTGACAAAAAGCAAATATTTTCTCTGCTAACAACAAATTCACATGACCACTCCGAGGACACCGATTTGACTCAATTGAGGATATAAAACCCCTTTCACCTTCCAATTTGATCACAGTAGTTCCATACATAAATACTAAATATCCCGATTTCATCGGGGTTGGATCTCCGAAAAAATAACCCTTCGCCGGAAAAAACCCAAGTCAATTCCGGTTAATTAGGTTTACGTTTAATTGAAATATATGAAAATATCAATACATCTTAAGGGACCTACTACTAATAATGATTGATTATTTACTATCATGTCATCAAAGTTATTTCACAAATTTTCTGATCAGTTCTTTCGATTCGATTTATTTCAAGTTTGTCACATTCATTTTGAAAAATTTCATATTTTATATTTATTTTAAATTGCTCATCGTCTTTCCGAATTATTAGTGAAAAAACTAGAAACTTGTGTGTCCTGGAAACTGTTAAATTGCAAAATTTTAAACTATTTTAGTGTAAACTTCGTCCTCCACCGTTATAAACAGAATAACTGAAAAAGCAATTTGTAGTGTGCGGTTTATTTATGTGTGCGTGGTTTAATGTCTTTGTAAATGATCCTGGTGTCTGTGTTTGTCTGTCCCTGACTGTAATCTATGGTTTGTCTTTGAATCGTTCACGGCGTTTATTTTATCAATCATTGCCTGCATTTTGAGCAGCGAGGCGTTTTCACAATTGGGAAACCTTATTAATAGTTGAGTTAAACCAGGAAATATTTACATACATATGATATATAGTATATTTATACATAGTTTGTGAAAAAACTCTAAAAAATTTAACAAATTGGAAATCTTAAAAGAATGTTTTTTTGTGCTGTTTTTCTTTGCAGACATCTACGATAACATTTCGTGCGATGGCTTTTTCAACATGAATGCCATGCGTATTCAAACCACTTTTCCGCCAATTGGCACTTTCACTTTGGATTCTACGCTGGGACCGCCACCGTCTCAGTCGCAAAATCAACCACCGATATCCCAACACCCACCACCGATTGGGATTTTCGACGCTAACGAGGTGCCAGAGATCATTCAAAATCCGGCAACAATCGGTGTGTTCCAATCCAATAGCGTTTTGAGCAATGGTGGAGGTAGTGGTGGCGGGGGCGGTAACAACTCCTCATCCATATTTAGTTCGCAATCGAGCTCTTCATCAGCTGCCAACGATCCAAGTCAAGCAACTCGTGAGACTGGAATTATTGAGAAACTTTTGGTTTGTTCGCCAAACTTTCCTTTGGAATATTAGTTCTATATAAATGCAAATATATATTTTTTAGCATTCTTATGGATTCATTCAATGTTGTGAGCGTCAGGCACGTTTATTCTTTCACTTCTCGCAATTCAGCGGTAATATTGATCACTTAAAAATCGGTGATCCGGTCGAATTTGAAATGACTTATGATCGTCGCACAGGCAAGCCAATAGCAAGCCAAGTATCGAAGATAGCACCAGAAGTGGTGAGTTAGCATCAAGTGATAATCATGCATATACAGTTTCTCATAGTGCGTTATTGTGTTTTATAGGTGTTATCGGAGGAACGAGTTACTGGCACTGTTACAACAGAACTTCGTACTGATTGCGCTAACAATTTGCTTTCGTCAAACGAGACAACTGGTCGCATCAGCTATGAAAATCGTGGCGAGTGCTTTTTCTTACCTTATACCAAAGACGATGTTGAGGGAAATGTCAATTTACGCGCCGGCGACAAAGTTAGTTTTCAAATTGCAACTAACCAAAGGTATTTGCTTATTATCATTAATTTTCATTTCTTATCGTGCAATATTTTTGACCGTTTCGCATGTTACAGAGGTAACCTTGG